AAAAAATAAAGACATCAGAATAATAAAGAAAATTGGCATATACTCCCTCTGTTCCCAAAATACTTCCCACTTTCCTTTTTGGGCTGTTCCCAAAAATACTTCTCACTTTCCCATTTTGGACAATTTGTGTGGCTCACATTCATTTTACCTTTTTCTTACACAACCACAATCATACATTTCCACTTTATTCCACTTTCTTAATAAGCGTGCCAAGTCAAACTGGGAAGAATTATTAGGAACGGAGGGAGTATATTACTTGACCAAGTTTGACTTGTAACTGAAAATACCTCTAGCACACCTATCGCTCCCAGCTTAGGTTGTTAGTTAACTACATGCTTGAAGATCTCCTACAATTCCAAAGAGTAAATTAGTTTCATATGGGAAGAAAGAATATGCATTGTTTCATTAGTATTTCATTTTTGAATATTAGATAAAAATTGAATAGTTAATACGGTTTGTCCTTTTAGAGGGCTTCTAGCCATTTTTGGACTCTAAATCTATGTAAACAATAGAAGAAGTGGTAAAAATGGGATAGAATGAGGTACAAATTTAGGTAGGATAATCACAATAAACATAAATATGAGACAAATATAACTTATAATTGAAATAAAAAAGTAAAGTCCGTTTGGAAACATGAAAATCGGCTAATTCTGCTGAAATTTATGAAGTTCTAACTGAAGTGGCAGCATGCATTGGTTGATTCTGCTGATTTTTTAAATGGTAAGTACGATACTCCATTTTTTAAATGCGTACCAGAGTTTTCACTTGATACTAACCATCAACAACCCCGGTGCATAATTTTCTTGGTCAACCTAAACCAGTTGTTATCCACAGTATACACATACATATATTTTAATTGAGTCTTGATGGTCCTCAAATGCATGCCACCCAAAAAGATCTGTCTTTGAACCCCAATCCAATTTTCACACAACAGAGCTTCTGGTGCACATATAACTATCTGAATTAGACAACCTTTATCACATATCCATGTTGAAAAGTTAGCAGATATACAGACTTATAGATGTTCCAGAAGCTTCAGCACGGGAGGAAGAAGAATCCAGTTGGGCCGCCATTATGATCCGAACGAGCATCAGGCTGCGGAAGCGGCTAGAAATGAACCTGCTAAGAAATGGTCTGTTTGGAAAGCCATTTGGAGGAAATTCTTGAAAGAGAAGAAGAGGAAGAGCAGATTCGAGTTTTCGACGTCTGTCCATGTCCCCAGATACGATGAGTACAGCTATTCGCAAAATTTAGATAAGGGGTGTAACTGGGAAGAACCTGATGACCAACTCTTGAGATCTTTCTCTCTTCGTTTCGCTCATCCACGATCAAGGACGATGGTATTGAAGTAGACCTCTCCAAGGGCGTGCCGTTTAAGTTTAAAACATCTTATGATAAGTCTTTATGTCGATACACATTTAATAAATAAAATAAATTTCTTCAATATTTGGATTATACTCATTTTCAAGCGTTATATGAATGCACGCTTTCTAACTATAAAAAATACTTATATGGTAGTATTTTACCGTATAATATGCGGTTGGGCACGATCATTTTTATGTATATACAGATAAATATGGGATTTTATCTATAGTTTTTCAGTTGATTTATTGTACTACGTCGACTCCTCTTCCCAGTTCCCATTGACATATTCTTTCTCTCCCCTATACCTATACCTTTGTCCCAACATATTTTACCATATTCTTTTTCAGGAAAAATAACAAAGGAGATGAAATACTTATTTCTAAACTAACATATAGCTAGGTTATTGACCGGGCTTAACTTGCAAGTATACAAGTGCCGATGTAGTAATAAATTCCGGTAAAATACCGGGTTGAATCCACAGGGAAACATCATTCTATAAAGTTCGGTTTTGAAAATTAAAAGAGAGAATAAAAGTAATTAAAATGCATGGATTTTTGTTTGTTTGAGTGAATATATAATAGAATGACCAAGGCATCGGGATTCACCCAAACGTTAACTAGAATTCAATAAAAGTTCTTTGTCGATTCTTATGAGTACGGTATCGTTATTATATTCTCGACTCCGGTTAAGGCAGTGAGAGCGTGGTTTTCGCTACGTGTGAGTCCCGTTACGGCTCACATTCATCTAGACAAAACCCCATTGAATATTAAGATACCACACACACACCATACAAGATCGGGTATATTTCTATCCTCAATACTTTGTATGTTTATTCTTCTAGAGAATGATTTATAATGCAACGTTAATCGACCATATAAACCTATAGATGTTATGCAACGCAATTATATATAATTAGTTTAAAGAGAGTAAAATGTGAATTACTTCTTCTGGTGTCCAATTGATATTTCAACGTTAGTTACTTCATATCAATACATGTATTATACTACTATGTTGCATAACATATATGGAAAATTAAACATAAGAAGAATAAATCATAAAATTTGACTTGGAACAAATATAAAAAACTAGAGGGCGTAGAGGTTCATCTCGAGCCTTGACTTAAGGAATTAGCCTCTAACACTCATATTAATCAAAATTACAATACTTTGAATGTAGAAGAACATGCAAATATAAAGGAAATATAACCTAAACATCAATGGTTGGAAGAAATGAGCTTCCACACCTCAAGAACACCATGAAGAATAAAGAAAAACTATAAAAACTGGTTATGAACTAATGAATTAAATTGAGATTGGATGATCAATTTGGGATGAATTGGAAGGTTTATATAGGCTTGAAAATGATCTTTGATGGTCTATTCATGATCCTCAATCAACTTGGGGTGAAATTTCTGAGCCAGACCTTCCAAATATCTTCAAATCAACTAAAAATATCTGAGCACGAAATCTGGGTTTTCTGCAGATTTGGGGTAACCGGCATCGGTGTGGGGTTAACCGGCACCGGTTTGAGTGAGATTTCGATGAAAAGCAGGTTGAACCGGCGCCGGTTAGGTGGTGAACCAGCGCCGGTTGTGTTTCAGAAATCCGACGTCAGAATTTTTAAAAACAACCGGTGCCAGTTTTTTCCTGGGAATTTGGAGATGTTTCGCTACGAATTTGGACATGATGTCTTCAATGAAGTTGTAGATAATGAAGTCTTCTATCTACCAAAACTTGAATGACATGTTTTTAATCATCCAATCAAAAGATATGGATAAAACACTCAGAGGTATGCATCCCAAAATTCCACCAGCAACTTGATCCTTTCATATTTTGGCCATGATGTCTTCACAAAATGTGTAGCTTATCGAGTTATAATTCACATGAAACTTTGAATCAAGTCATTTGGAATTATCTACAATAAGTTATACTCGAATTATGGGCAGAACGTTATCATTTTAGTCCAAAAAGTCGTTCATCGCAATGTTTTATGCTCTAGCTCTCATTCTGAAGGTATTTACCCGATTTCTCCTCTTGACTTCAACAAATACTTATAAATACTTATGTTAAACACAAGTAAATATTATGGCTACCAGTTATATAGGTTATATGCTTACAAATAGAAACAAATTTTTAATATGCCTCTTTTTCCATAGTACAAATGTCACTAGACTTACACGACCACATATTCCACTCAATTCCTATCACAGTAAGTGACCTTTCATCAGCATTGTTAGTGAGAAAATTCCACCTCATCTCACTCCACCCATACCTCATTCACCCTTCATGATCCAATCAACACCTACACATCATCTATCAATCTATTGTGTTTGTGTTGATGGTATTGGTCCACCTCATTAAAGCCTTTGGTCTCCTATTTAATGAGTCTGGCCCATTTGGGCTGTCTACCCGACAAGGCCCACTTGCCCCTTTTGTCTTCGCTCAACCCATGACTCTTGTGGCCCTTCCCTTATATTGTCTGGTTCCTTCTGGAATCGTCTATTTGATCGTTTTGTCCTTCTCTCTAACCGATGTATCTTCTAGAGAGTTACCCTAGTCCTAGAGTGAGAGAGTGACAGTTTCACTGTGGGTCTGAGCTCCGGTTACCCTCTGGTGATTCCTTGGGGAACCTATTGTGGGCTTCACTGTGGTTTGGTTGTTTGGGGGTTCTTCTCCGGTGGTTCTCTGGGTTGTCTGGTTTGGGGGGGGGGGGGGGGGCTCTTAAACTGGGTGTTTGTGACTGTTGCCCTTCGTCTTCCCTTTTTGCAACACTGGTGGTGAATGTCGAGCAAGCCTTTGGGCTTTTGGTGATTAAGATCTGAGCCGGTCTTGATTGCTACCACCTCTCGCCGACACCGGAAACTCGCCGGAACCCTTCCAAGCTGGTAACACCTAGGGCCCATCGCTGTCGGTAAGTCGGGTTGTCTCTGCTGGACACCCGCTCAGTTATAATAGCTTGAACTTGACTCTTGGGCTGCCGGAGTGCCACCGGCTTCTGTGTTGCATTGGTAGATCTGTATTCTTTTAGAATATATCTATCAATAGAAACCTTAGATAAACCATTGCATGTGAAGTGTCTGTTAGAACAGATCTGCAGAAACCCTAGGTGTTGGTTCGAGTTGCACGAGTGGTCTAATCTGTGTCGACTTGACCCACTGTTTATCTGTGAGATTGCTTGTTTATTAATTTGACTTCCTTCGTGTGTGGTCTTTAATTTGCTCACCCCTCTGCGTTACAACTTTGAGAACTCTTCCCTCTGACTGTGAATCTGCTTGATTACTTCTGTAGTATTTGTTCTGAGTCTATTAGAACCTATCTTACCCTATCCTATCTCCCGAGTTCTAGTAATAGTGTAGCTTTAATCCCTAGTTGGCTAAGGCACATGAGGTTAGGGCTAAGGGATACCCTGCTAGCCACTTCAGTGGCCCCGAAATTGTGTGGTCTCTTAGTCCGTTGTTGGATCCTCTAAGGTTAAGCTTTTATATTACTTCAAGCTGAGTAGTTTGTGTGTGATCTATTATCATGGCTTCAAACCAATATGATATGATGCCTTTTAATGTCAAGATTGATTTTGATATTTGAAAACAAAAAATCAAACGTGTATTAATTCAACAGAAAGAAAGTGTATAAGGCTGTCACCGGTCAGTTTCACAACCCGACAATTTCATATTTCATAATCTAATGCTTATTTCATAATCTTTCATTGGACAATTCTACGATCTTCACCAAGGCAGATATATGTAATACGCAGTGTGTATATACATATACGAAGTATATAATAAGTAATAAAAAGTATATACAAGTGTATAAAACACCTTGTGTTCGTGGCATTAAATCATCAATGACATTTGTAGAACGTATACAAATGAATTCATTTCCATTGAGAATTCGTAATAGAGCAACTCTGGCTTCCAAGACATCACAAATTCACAACCCCCGACACAGTTCAAATTAACACAGTTATTCTCTCCCAACAATCAATTACCTACACGACACACAACTGTGCTCATTTTGACTTCCCTCTCAACTTGACTCCCAAGACCTTCTCCATCCGAGCCAGCACCGCCTGGTTTGGCACAGCCTTTCCATTTTCGTACTCTTGGACCACTTGAGTTCGCTCGTTAATCTGCTTTGCGAGCTCCGCTTGTGTCAATTTCTTCTCTATCCTTGCCTTCTGTATAGTCAGCCTCACCTCCGCCGGAACTCTCTCCAGCGCAGCTGGCTCCGCCGCCTCGTCCAGCTTCCTTGCGTTCACTGCCGTTGCCGGAGCCTTCTTGTTAGAACCGGCGTCAAATTTCTTCACGGTCAGGACCTGAGCGCCGGTCCTAAGCGCCTGGTTCACGGCCTTCGGGTCCCGTAGCTCTGACGACTTGGGCTTTTGCTTACGAAGCACCACCGGCTCCCAGTCCTGGGCTATTCCTCCGATCGGACGAGTAGGCATCGAAAATATTGAGTCGATCACAGAAAATTGCAGTAATTAATTCAATCCGGATAGGAAACGATGGAATCGGCTAAGAAGGTGAAGTGACCGATATTATTATATAGAAGAAGTATTCTGGAAGTTCGGCTAATTTGTCGGCGATTTGAGTCATATAGTAGTATCCAGAAGGTTCATAGTCTTCGTCGCATCGAGAAGGTTCGAGATTTGGGGGTGGCAGTTCCAGAGGCCGCATGCTTAAAATTGACCGAAATCAATGAAGTTTTAGTTAGATCCATTTATAAGTTTGTCCCTCAGTCCCCCCTAATTTGTACTCCCTCCGTCCCTAATAACTTTGACAAGTTTGACCGACACGGGGATTAATAAAGTAAAAACTGTGTGGTTGAGGTTTGTGCAGAGGAGAGAGAATTAACTGAAACCACAAATGCTTTACTTAAAGGAGAAAGTGACAAAGTTAATGGGACATCCAAAAAGGAAAGTTGGAAAAGTTGTAAGGGACGGAGGGAGTATTGTTTTACCTTTTTCGTCTGTCACATTACATTTGTCTCGTATCATATTTGGTAATATTTGAGTGGTTAGAATTTATTCTTACTTTATTCACACTTTATCAATTCAATACCAATTACACAATTCCACTTTTTCTTATATATCACACCATACCCCTTTGTTCCAAACTTAGGGGACGGAGGTAGTATTTTAAAAATAATAGCATAGATATTACCTCTAAGGTTTTACAAGACAAAAATGTGACCAATTTAAAATTTGACAAAAAGTGAGTTGGCCTTTCTAATAATCCTCCTGGGAAGGATCAATATGTCTTCTCCGGCCCTTCTTCCTTCGCTCATCGCCTCCTTGCACCAGGACATCCATGGAGGCTAATCAGGCTATCAACAAGCTTCTCGCATCAGGTCGTCCCTGCTTCTCACCTTCATCATCGACCATGAATCCACCAACGTGACACCATCAAAGCTGGCGGAGACCACCGGTGCGACGCCATCAAAGAAGACGGAGACCACCGGTACGACGTCGACGGTCAGCGACGATGACCTTCTGCGACGGTGACGCCAACTTTATCTTCTTCTTTGCTGCTTCTCTTCACCGTCTCTGTTCATTAGCTTCAGATTTGTAATCGATTTCAGAGCTGTGATAGCTAATTGTCGTGAAATGGGGAAGGAGTGTTGGCTATTGAGGCTAAGGTGAGTTTCAGATGGGATAAGGGGTTGGGGCGAGGAGGGTGGTGATTGTTGGGGCAAGGATGCGCTACTGGGCGGTGCTGGACAGGTACACTGTATGCATTAGGGCGGGACTGGTGAGCCGTGGAGGGGAGCAGGGTTTTGTCAGACATTTTGACGAAAATCACTTGGAGCAATGATGTTGGGTTCGTGGTGTTGGGTGCTGGGTTGGGGTGTTTTCTGATGGTGGGGCGTTCGAATGAGAGAGGGCAATGGAAGTGGGATGTGTATGGGAAAGGCAGTGATGGTGGCCGGAATAGCGGTGGTCGAAATAATTGTGTGTCACTGCAGAGATGTAACTGCGGTGATCGATGGTGGGGATGTCACTACGGCGATGTCACTGTGACCAGAGATTGGGGCGCAGATGTCATTGCGGGATGTCACCGCGGAGGTGTCACTATAGACGGTGGCGGTCACCGGTGGGAAGAAGTTGTGGATGTCACTGTATATTTGTCACTGTAGCGTGTCATTGTGGTTTGCGGCGGTGCCACTGTGGCGGTGTCACTATGACGATGTCACTATGACGGTGGCGGTGGCGGTGTAATTGGCATGAAAATTTTGACTTTGGCAACTCTTGGTGACAAGAAAAATGAACACCGTGACATAATTTTTTTGCAGTGACATCATGCGTAGGTTTTTCACATCGGTTATAACCCATGTAGAAAAGATTTCACATCGGTCATTTTATCAACCAATGTAAAAAACTTCATTTTTTTCGGAACATATGTGTTTCACATCGGTTATAAACCATGTAGAAAAGCAATCACATCGGTTATTTTACAATTGATGTGAAAAGCTTCAATTTTTTCAGTTTTTTTCAGGAAAAAATTGCATTATGACTCCCGTTTATACTATAATCACATCATTAACAGTATCATCAACTACTATAGCACAATTTTTCACCTGTTCACTTGATCCATCTAACTAAAACAATAACACAAACTATTTTTCAATTCTTTCACAAATGTTAAACAAGTTCAAGTAACAACTTAGTACATAATAATAAGCTAAAATAAAACAATTCTTGCACAAGTCTAGAGTAATAACACATTGTATAAAGTTACAAGTCTCATCATCACTCAAAAACTTAAACAAACACGTTCTTCATGTGTCGTTGATGGATTGCGTCATTTCTAAGAAATATGATGCCCGACGAGTTCGTACTTCATCAATCTCTTATGATGAGAATGGTTCCGGATTGGCGAATCGCTACAAATTAAATAAGAAGGTTATTATTAAAAAACAATACATGGAGCAAACCTATTGAATGTAAATAAAATAATAATGTACCGCATCCCACATTTCAAGAATTACCGCCGAAACAATATTCAACATATGCAGCATCACATAATAATCACATTCATAACTCTCAACTTGCATTCGAGACTACAAGTTAGAACAATAACATAATTACTAATCAGGAATTACGGTATTCGACTTGGTGCTACACAAATGAAAGTAAAAATAACATACCAAGTAAAGTAGTAAGTATTTTCCATAGGAATAATCCATTTCACTCTTCCCTTTCTTGAGTTGAGCCTACGACTTGCCTCCATTGCACTATGTAATTTATAATATTAAAAAATATATATATAATAATAAATTATTTATGTAATTAAGATATACAATATATAATCAACAATTAAATAAAACGGAATGTACAAAATACTTACGCATCAATAATATTTTTGAATTGTCTACTTGGCTTATCCCCCAAAGAACACAAGAAGACAATAGTGTTTTGGATAGGAGAGGTAATAAAGAGCTGCCAATGATTCATGTATACATAAAAAAAATAAGATAAAAGACAAATAATAATTTTAAAAAAATAATACATAAAAAAAAATTTATCTTCAACAAGGAGCCAAGTATGTGTTCTAGTAACTTTTACTTACTGGTAGTAATAAGGAGCCAAGTAACGCGAAATGTGAAATTATGAAGTTTGTGCGAGACAATTTCGGCTTAATAAGGAGCCAAGAAAAGCCAAATATTTTTATCTTCAACAAGGAGTCAAGTATGTGTTCTAGTAACTTTTACTCAATAACATACTTACTTCTCCAGCATAATGTGAAATTATGAAGTTTGTGCGAGACAGTTTCGGCTTTATAAACCGCTTATGATTCTTGAAGGTCTGGTAAAGTTTGTTTGAGAATGTTTCATGTGTCGACTTAGGAAACATACTGAAATATAATTTCAGATAATATAACAGATATAACAGATAATGAAATGACTAAACTAAACATCAACCCACAAGCTAGAACAAATTAAGTAGACATTCAAATGGAATGTATATCAAGAAATAATTCTAAATATATAACTAAAACACAAAAGTAGTGGATAAAAATGTGACCGTGCCAACTTTAGTGACTATAATTGTATTCAAATGTTACATCATAGTGACTATAAAACTTACACATAGTAACTTTATGTCACATTTTTATCCTTAGTAATATTTAAAAGTCATGTATCAATTATACGAAGACATGTAATCAGATATATCTATCGTACCAAGCTTCATCAAGCAAGACTATGATCCCTCCTGGTTTCTGCAGAAGTGTGAAGCATGAGTTAGAGAATGTGATGCAGACAAAACTAAAAGAATACGTTGATACATTTTGAATGATAATGAGTGATGTTCTCAAGGAATAATCTTAAACTTCACTCAGAAAAATATGAATTGCACAATGTCTATGAGAAAGTCTCACAATTGATACGTGAATGGATTTAAGCTCAAATGTTCAATCGCTATCCATACCTTAATCAACAACAAACATGACGATATGATTTAATACAAAGGTTTTAAAAATGTATTACACTATTTAAAATTAAGAGATTCATATTGAAATTTTGGAAGCTCTGGAGTTAAAAATGATAAAGAAGTCGATGGGATATGAAGTCAGAGATTAAAGAAGACAACCACCCCTCGCAACTAAAAAAAATAGCACACATAAATGAATAAGAAAGCTGAGTAGCAAAAAATAAATTGCCTCCTCTGAATATGCAAGCTACTCCAAAGTCCAACCAGATATTCAAAAAGTATTACTCTGTATATTTTAAGGCTCACTCGGTAGTTAACCTTTACCCTTGATGCTTAGGGTGTAATGATGAAGTTAATGATATACAAAAAGATTCATAAAAGATTCAAGGGTCCACTTTTATTTATACCTTATTAGTATAATACTCCGTAAATACTTATGTAGAAAAAATGAAGGAAACTTTACAAAAATACTCTAATCTGTAAACATCTGAACACGTGCATAAAAGGCACTTGAAACCAAACAAACATTAACACCAAAAAATTTCAAGCTTGTGAATTCTGTAATTAGTTAAAATGACATTTTGAATGAAGTGAATCTAAAGGTTGGCATAGGCCACCTTATTACCATAACTAGAGTGAGTAGGGCATACCTTTTCAATAAGATCTAAAACATCTTGGTTATCCACAAATTCAATGTAGCTCCAATCAATAGCCTCTTTTGTGTATTCTTCTTGCTCCATCTTGAATACATGCTGTTAGAATGCATTGGTAGCTCAGAAATTAAGATATACCATACATATTGTTGAGGTTAAGTCCGCAGATCCGAAAGCCCAACACACGCTTTGGATATTAAGGATATGGAAAATAAGTCGAGGGTCTAAGAAAATATAAAAGCTGAATAATAATATGCTCAAAAGCCCACTTGTATTAAGCAATTCGCTGATTACACAGGAAACTTCCCGAACGGTACGTCAGAATAGTGATAATACAATAACAAGAATGGTAAAGCTATTCTAGGCCTTGAGTTTCAAAATGCTAACCCTTTACAATGAGATTAGAGCCCCTATTTATACTAATAAAAGGGGATGGGGTGATGACGTCGCTGAATATGACTTGTTGTCGTTCTCGAGCCACTTGGATGCCCATACTCCCACTTGATGACGCCATATCCTAGCATTAAATGCCCCTTGCCACTTGCAGGCTACCCGTTTGGGCTTCAGAACGATGCCCATGTTGCTATCATTATTAATCT